TCTCTCTGTTTTTGTCCCCAACATAGTCCCCTCCCCTTTAGTGTCATCTGAGTAGATTTTGAAGCAATCTGAGCTCATTGGAATCTGTGCGTTTTTAATTAACAACGGTTATTTCTATTACTTCATGAAAGATTGCAAATGAAGTAATTAAATAAAGAAAAGAAAAATAATAATATCAAAATGCATACACATGTGCGTATAATAAAAAACAAAAAACAACAATAAAATCAAATGCCGAAGATGAACTACAAAAAATCAGTTACGACGCAAGAAAAGTTAACGGCATTTTGGTTCAGTCTCAGTTGTTGTTATTGTTATTGTCATTGTTATAGTTGTTGTTGTTGTTGTTGTTGTGGAATTGCGTTCATGGTCAAAGTGTCAAACGTGATGTAACGGTACGCTATTCACTGACCCCAGAAAGAAACAGTGAGAGAGAGAGAGAGAGAGAGAGAGAGAGAGAGAGAGAGAGAGAAAGAGCGAGACAGTCCAACATTTAGTCGGTCAAACTCGTTTCAATTATGTATAACTTACTTAATCAATCGTATTTCCCCCTGTAACTTAGATCAGTATAATAAAACCCATTGACCTCAAAAAAGCGAGCAAATCGTTGTGTAATATCTTTTCAAAAAATTCTGAATCAGAGTTTTAAGTATGCACATTAAATTCAACGATTAAAGGGACATACGATAAACTGCAAAAGGGAAAATGACGCTGATATATATATAGATATATAGATATATATATATTTGATGTGTTTACCATAATTCGCAAATGAAATGTTAAAATTTCACTTTATATCGGGCGGTGCACTATAAAAGGGAAATTTCAAGGCAATTAAGGCAATAACTTCCGTTTTTATTATGATCGTAAATATATGTGATTAAGTTGGGAAGTCGATAGCAGTAAAAAAGAACAACCGTTAATTGATTAGGTAAATCGGTTTTACGATGTGAAAACGTTTTCTTTGAATACCATAGAAAAATGGAGATCATAGATTTTAGTTAAGGACTATGTATAACCCATTCTGTATTCAATAATATCACAAGAATAAATAAATATTTGAAGAGTGAACTGAATTACAGCCAAAAGCAGTGTTGCAAAAGTGTCGCAGTCAAAATTGTCGATTTTCACACATTTGATTTGGGTTTTGAACATTAAGTTCAAGCATTGTCAACGATTCCCAATTCCGATTACGCTGAAATCCAATGGCCCTAGGCCTGAGAGTGTGGATATCTGCGATGGTAGTTTTTACATATTCCAATTCGTATTCGTATTCGTATTCGAATTTGTATTCGTATTCGAATTTGTATTTGTCTTTGTATTTGGGCTTTAGTAGCACTTTATTATTTATTCACTGTTAAGCTGAATTTGAGTTGTTGTTGTCGTTGCGGCCTTTTTTTATATTATTTTTTGTTTTTTGACACTTTCACTTTTCTCATTAAAATATGAGACCGAGCAACGACAGGTTTCTGCTGACAGCATTACAATACGAATACAAATACGAATACGAATATGAATACTTGCTTACACTCGCATACATACACACATACATACATACATACATAGTATGTAACCTTAAAACATACATATGTTTTTCTGTTTTTTTTTTTTGTGTAGATTTCGTTTGCATCTTCATTCATTATACCCGTCACTGTCACACACCCCTCCCCCACCTTTCACCTCTCCCTGCCACCCACTCTCCACTTCCTATCTCTTCTCTGGGCACATTTGCATTCGTTACCGTTGCTTTTGGTGTCACATCAGACACCCTGCCCCCATCTCACTTTTTACACCTTATGCTCTTAAGTGAATGCTCGAATCACCTAGATACATACGAGTATGTATATATGTGGTTAGATAATTACTCAAGCACTTAGATATTATTAAGATACCCATGTCAATATTCAGTAACAAGATCTTGACTATAGCTATATTCTTTCGTCAACCATCAGCATTTAAGCCGCTTTCTTATCTCCTAGGGAATGTGGAAGTGTTTCACTTACAGGGTATGCGCACATGATGTGTATGCCTATCATGGCATGTGATGCTTATTTATCTTGATTTCTGAAATTGTGTCAATCTTCGGTAGCAGCAATAATAGCCTCCCTCTGCCTCTGCCTGTCCCCTCTGAGATACTTTGCATCGTCTCTTTTCCATTAGCATCGATTGAGAAAAACCCGTTTACAATTACCCGCCGCCAGTCAGCACTGAATTCTGTTTCGATTTGCTGATGCTTCTGGTCACATCTTCCAAAATGCACTTTTTGACTTGCCCTTTACACACACACACACACATACTCACACACTCACACACTCACACTCACACACTCACACTTGCACTCACATGCAAACACTCACAGCACTCATGCTCAAAGACACAAGCATGGAGAGAATTCCAGTCATGCCTGCAGTTTTTGGCAGCTATTTTATTTCAGATTTTTAAGAACTGGTTTTATATATTTTTTATTTAATTTTTTTTTTTTTTGAATCTGAAGTACCAAAGCGGTGAACGGTTAGGCTAAAGCTATAGCCAAAGCTCAATTGTGGCCTAAAACGTATTTTCTCAACTTTTCATGTTTGCCTGTTTTTGGAAAATTGAAAAAGCATTGCACGACATTTGGGGGATTTGTTTTCGAGTATTACACAATGGGCTTCAGTTAACAGATTTAGAGAGGGGAGACAAAAATAGAGTGTGAGAGAGAGAGGGCGAGGGAGAGAGAGAGAGAGAGAGAGAAAGAAAGAGAGAGAGAGAGAGATACAACGACGAGAAAGACAACTTGTTAAAGCTGTAGTTCGTTTTGTTGTATTTATTGTTGCTGTTTACAACTTGGCTCGAATTGGGAACCTGAGACTGGATATTGAATCTATATATATATATCTGATGCGGAGGCAGGTGTGCGAGTGTGCGTGTGTGCGTGTGTGTGTGTGTAAACGGGTCAGCATAAAGATAACAGTTGCAACACTTCTTAATCCTGTGTCTGAGTAAGCTATGAATCAATCGAGTGCACATATTTCAATCGGTAGCATCCAAATTAATTGGAAAACAACAAATCTAAAAGCCCTCTTAGAGATAAAATTAATGATCTTAAAGTTTGCTTGAGCACGGTTATTAACAATTTATTCATTTGTCATGGCATTCAGTGTGAATGCGTGATGAATTAAAAAATTGATATGATTTGTTTGCTATACTTTAAGTAACATTAGTTCATTGATTTAACTCATTGATTTGAAGTTTTTCTAGCCTTGCCTTCATCATACCAATAGTTGGATTAGTTTGATTGGTTATTCATTCAGTTGCATTAATCATTAATTTGTTTAATTATTATTTTCGTATTTTAGATAATTTTTTGTGAAAATAATATTTAATTCGTTTTGTTTTTTTTTTTTTGTTGCTTTATTCCCTTGCTAGTATGTATATTCATTTATTTTTTGCTATTCATATGCGCAATTAATATTGATGTGATGTGCGATGACAACTTGGGAATATAAGCTTAAATTGCTTTAAGCATTCCTTATTGAAATTAAGAATTACTGAGTAAATAATTTGCTCATATTTTTTAATTCATTTTCAATACGAATAATGAATACTGTTGTATTCGTTCCTATTCAGATTCAACTCAGATTCAGATTGAGATTCAGACACCAATCCAACCAAAGGTATTTATTTGTTTTGATTTATGCTCATTGGCCATTGATGTCATTATTCACAAAACTCAATTCAGCTATTCACTCACAATAGCCTAGTTCCTTTAATTGATTGATTTCGAGTTATTCACACAGAGTGGCTCACTTATTCATTCTCCCTTTGGATTATTTTGGTGCTCTTCTCTTTCTCTTTCTTTCTTGCTTTCCGAATTTGTCGTTTTGCTTATTTTTTTGCGGCCAACTTTTGCAATACTTGCATGGCAGCAGCATAACACATAAATACCAACAACAACAATAGCAACAACGACATTCGTTTGTTAACAAAATGCTTATTACAACATCGGCGATGACGCAGGGCTTTTTTTTTCTTTCTTTTTTTTTTTACTGTCCAGCAGCAGCAAGAGTTGTTGCTCTCTATTTGCTTTTGTTGCGCTCTCTTTTGCTCACTCACACACTCTCGCTCTCACTCTTATGGCTCTCAATACCTCGCTCTCTCTCTCTCTCTCTCTCTCTCTCTGTCTGTCGGTCTCTCATTTCTTTTGGCAGCACTTTCAATGCGCTTGTATCAATGGTTAACGGTAAAATTTTGCACTGCCGTCGCTCACTTGCGCTTTCAAGCTCGCCGCTGAGCTTGAGCTTGAGCCGCAGCCGAAGCCTCAGTCAACGTCGCCGTCGCCGTCGCAGTCGGGCCTATGCTGCCGAGATTTTCGGTTGTTGTTGTTGGTTGCTCTCGTGCTGCTGCTGCTGCTGGTGTTGCGCAGCTGCGACTTTTTAGGCTGCGTTTTTGAAATTGTTGGCATATTTTTACAGCTGTCCAAGACGCGCAGCCGCAATTCGTTAACGTGCGTTCATGCCAAGCGGTCGTCGCTTGTCGCAGCTCCCGAAACCTTAAACCTTAATTAACCCCTTCCTGCCCCTTCGACGCGTGTGCAACGCAACGAAAGTAAAAGTGCCAAAAAATAAATGTAAAAAAAAAAAAATACGAAAAATACGACAGCAAAAAAGTAAAAAAAAAACACAACAAAAAACAAACCACAAAACTGAGAAATTCTAACGGTTAAAAGAGCCAAGCGTCGCTTGAGCTGCGCTTATTACACAACTGGCGCCCCAAAAGTGAAGACGAAAAGAAGAGTTTTTTTTTTGGTTTTTTGTTTTCTTTGTATAATGTGTTATAATTAAAAAATCTATACATCTTTTTTTTTGGTTTTTGTCAACGCTTTGCTTTGCTGTGATAATGATTTAAACAAAGTGTGCTCAAAGAAATCTTACAGAAATATTTAGTCACAATAATCAAAAATAAGAAACACACGAAATCGAAACCGATATATATTTTGGGATATTTTTGGAGTGTAAATCATTTTTTTTCTTTTGGTTTTTTCAACATTTTTTCTTGTGATTTCCTGTTGAGTGAAAGTGAAGCACACAGGGCAAGCGACGCGCGTCAAACGTGCCCCATCAATTTGTGGGATATTTGCTTCTTTTTTTTTTGTTTTTTTTTTTTCTATTTGGATTTGTCGTGCATTATTCTTTAAATGATGCGCTTACGCGTGCTGCTGACGGTGGCACTGACGCTGACGCTGGCAGCGACTCTCACAGAGGCGGCCATCAGTAGCCAGGACAACAAGTCCTTGCCGGTCATCATTAACCCCGATCAGCACAATGTCATCAATTTGAGACTACACACAGACAACACCAACACCAACACCAACAACAACATTAACAACAACAGCAACAACAACAGCAACAACAGCAGCAGCAACAGCGACGTCAGCTTCGATCTGACGCGAACGCTGCGTCTGCGCGATGCTCTAAATGTGTTCGATCTGTCGCTGCTGGCGTCGCAGTGGCCACGCCTCGAAACTACACGCATGCTGAGCGTCAACTGCACAAAGGACATGCGCCGTTATCTGCACGGCCTGACGGACGCCAAAATGTGGGCAGTAAAAAGTAAGTGGAAAACCAATCGATAAATCTAACTGCAAATGCGAATCTGGATACGAAATGGAATTGGACCAAGTAAAATCATTTTGTTAATGCAGATATATTCCGAGTACAATTCGATTTGATATACAGAAAATATTGCATCGTTTCTATTAGTTATCCATATAAAAGAAATATATTTTTCGTTGTCGCTTATTGAGTGATCAGGCAGCAACTGGCAAATCACTTTGCATTTAGATTAATATACGCTTTGCATTGATAGCTATTCAAATAGCACACACGCACACACACACACACACACAGATAGACACACACACACACATAGATACATGCATGTGTATTGCATATTTAGATTTCTCGCTGGTTTTGGTTTGGTTTGATTATGAATTGAGCCGCTGTTGTTGCACTGGTGAACGTGTTATTTCTGGCGTGGAGCGCGTTTTGGCTGCTCCGCATTCTCAACATTTTGAGTTGAGATTTCGGATTTATCTATATAGTTGTTGAGATATGCATGCGCCGCTGCAGACGCCAAGGTCGCAATTAGTTCTTGCCGGACTGCGGCGGCAATTTGCTGCAACAACAACAACAATAATAACAACAACAACAACAACAACAGCTCGACTCAATTGTGTGCAGTTTTATTTCTTCTTTTTTGATTTTGATTTGTTGCCCAGCTCAGTTTGAGTTTGAGTTTTCAGTTTTGAATTTTGAGTTTTGCGTGCAGTGTGTTCAGGTTTTTGGCAAATTGTTTGGTCATTATGTCAGCACCCCGTGTCAGTTTTGAACAATGGCCCCTAACTATAATTGGATATTGCACATAATGCAATACAATACTCAGTTAAGGCACCGTTCACTCCTGACCAAATTTGTTGGCCAACAACGGCTTAACAACAACAACAACAACAACAACAACATGCTGCCCAATTTAATTTCGTCTACTCATGCTAACTGTCTATCTTTCAAAATTTGACTAGGTACTGCATCTAATTGCTGAGTATTTGAACATATCACAACATATCTCGCAATACTGACCCTTTTTTTCTTTCTTTAAATCAAAAACAGCATTAATCACCCTGTCAAATGAATGGCATTAAAGCGCTGCCAACTTAGCCACATTAACAAGCAACTTCAACATCTACTTGCGTCTAAAGGCAAGTTTTAAAATGCAGATTCGGTGGTAGAAAAAAACCAAAAATACTTTTTGTCTTCTGCCTTTGAGAGGAACTGCAAGCTGCAAGTTTTGCACTGCTTGCTTGCTAGTTGCGCCGCTTGCACTGCTTGCACTTCAGTGGCGATTCAACGTTGCAGCAGCTGCAATCAAAAATATTATGAATATATGTTGTACGACTAGTTTTTGGTTTGATTCGATTTGGCTTTTGCTGTGTTGTTGTGTTGCTCCACGTTGCAGATGGCACGCCCCCTTGGCCGCCTCACACCGACCACTGACCAAGTGAGTGAGCAGCTGACCAGCTGACCAGCTGACCAACTGGTAGACTGACTGACCAACTGACTGACCGACTGACTGCCTGACTGAATAAGTGAATGAATGAGTGAGTGTCTGTTGTCCACACTCTTTGCGACGGTTATGCAATCAATTAACACAAAATACCGTCAAAGACAAAGCGAAAGAAAAAGAAAAGCGAAAGAAGGCAACGGCAAAAATTGAAGTCTTTCATTCGCTTAGTTTCTTTCCAAAGTTTCACTAAGTGTAACTAAAAATGACCAACAACAACAAAATAGATGGCGTTCAAAGCTTGCGCCCAGTTTAAATATTATTCTAGCTTTTATTCCACAAGTATTCGTATTGGCGTCTATTCATTCATTTATAACTGGCTTATAATTGTGATATAAGCGCTTTTGCCGCTGACCACATCGTTCTTTAAGATCTGACCAGCCACTTTAATGGCCAAGATCAATGGCCAAGCAATGCGGTTGAGTTTTCTTTTTGGCAATTGACTTTACATACCCGAACCCCACAGCCAAATGGGACTTTTTGGTTTGTCATAAAATGGTAATATCTTTAATATAAAGATTTGATTACATATTTAATTTTATATTTGATATTTCGCTTATACTATAGCTATAAAATATAATATAATACAATAATTTCCAATTTCTTACAACATATTTAATATAAAATGAATATTAATTTGTATTTTTTTTTATTTGGAAACGTTCTGAATGAAGTCATACCACAATTCCTGATTATTATAGTATCTGACAAGACGTTTTCAAATAAGAGGATTATTAGAATTAAATTGAATTTGAATGTAGATTTTTATGAATTTTTGCCAGATATTAAACAATTCTTGAATTAGATAAAAACGAATTTGATTAACTGCTTTCAAGCAAATTCTAACTGCGAGTTTGCTGTTGAGATATGCATTTGATAACTTGTTCATCGGGTTCGGGTATATGTCAAGTCGGGCCAGCTTTACTTTTAGGCTCTACGTGCGTTCTGACTTGTTGTTGTTGTTGCTGTTTATTTTGTTGTTGTTCTTATTGTTTTTCTTAGTTGCAACTACGCTTGGTTGCTTTGTCTGATTGCTGCAATCGATTGCTGTTGCTGTTGCTGCTGCTGCTGCCGGCCGACAATTGCCACCAACTGTTGCTTCCGCTGCCGCTCGCCACCTCTCCCCATATCTTTGTTAATAGCTGTCTTTGTTTGGTTAGCGCTTTTGCAGCTTGGCGACTTAGTTGAAGGCCAAACGTTTTAGCCATGGCTGGCTTGGCTCGGCTTGGCTGGTTCTGGGCCACGGCATATGTGGAAATCCTGGCAATGAAATACCTCTAAGAGCACAACACCAGAAAAAAAAAACCATTCCATATAGCGTCAAATAGAGCAGACATGATTTGTTTAGTAATCAAGCCCATCATTTTCATTCTACAAGGTCGATTTTTCTAAAATTGCACATATCGAAATATAAAATCGGAATTTTTCCATCTTTTTGTACAGTTGAATGAGCGCAGAAATTACCTAAATCCAGCAAATATTAATAATTTTCTTTTACTGGGAATTTGGGCAAACGAAAAGTTATTTAAGAAACAACATTTTTGGGCTTATTTTAATTCCTAAGAAATTGTTGTTGACTTTCTTATTCTAAGCACTTTTGCTTTAGTTCTTGATCGCTGCTCTCTGCAAGTCTTTGGCACTTTTTTCGATTCTAACTTTTGTCAAACAAAAGAGTTTTGAGGCTTAAAGAGGAAGTGTAAATGTTTGCTTTAACAATCATTAACAGCATTAGGCCCAATGCGAATGATCATTAATGTGTGTGTGTGTGAGTGTGTGTGTTGTGCAAACTTCCTACTCGTGGCTTTCACAGCTTATCGGGCCTTTTTAACTTTCCAGGAAACATGACGCGCGTTACAAAAACACCGGCTTTTTTTGGCCACAATTGCAATTGGCCATTAGCAAATCCCAATAGTTGACCTCGTCTTGCATTTCACAAAAAAAAGGCAATGTTAAGCAAACCAAACAATAAACACACACACACACACACACACAGACACACACAAATCATAATGAAAAGCCAAAATTGTCGTTGGCCAACTTGTCCGTCTTATTGGCCAGCTACCAAAATTGGCAAAGCGACTTCTTGCAATATGCGCGACTCGTGCCTGGCCTGTTTTCGATGTTGCTTGTATTGTTTTTGTTGTTGGTCATTAGCTTAGACACAATAGCCGCATTTTTAGGCCAATATACTTAGCCGACTTTTAGCTGAAAAGGGGCTGTTCGAAGCGGCTTTGTGGGTAGGCTGAGGAGGAGGGGGGAGTGGCTTAAGGAGGGAGGGGGAAACCTGCAGTTACCAATTACAGTCTTTGTGCAAAATGAAACGTCACGCAACATAATTTCTACTGCTTTCCCATTGTTGTTGCTGTCCGTTGTAAATATCAACAATAAAGCAATATGAAAATGAAGAAGCAGACAGACAGGCACAAACACACACACACACACACAAGCACACACACACACACACACAGCGGCACACACAAATTGCACAACAAATAAACACGGCAAGTCAGCGCATGTTGTTATTGTTGTTGCTCTCGCTGGAATGTAAAGACAACAGCAACATTAACATTAAAATCAACAGCAATAACAATAACAATAACAACAACAACAACAACAACAACCACTGCAGATAAGCGCCGACGCCGAAGCTTATGTAATTTAACTTTAATTTTGTTTGATTGTTGCAATGTCTTGCAGTTTTTTTTTTTCGTTGTTTTTATTATTGTTGTTGGCAAAAATGAAATTATGGCCCAAAGCAGGCAAATGTGCGTTTGCCTTGCTGCTGCTGTTGTTGTTGTTGTTATTTTTATTAGCAGCAATAACGGTCAATGTGTGGCATCTGTGAGTGTTTGTGTGTGTTTGGAACACTTTCAACTTTGACCGAGTTTTTCCGCCATGCGTTTTATTTTCATTTATGTTTTCAGTTTATCAGTTGCTGTTGTTTGTTTTGTTTTGTTTTTTTTCAGCCTGCCCCACACACACACACTAAAGACTTAGGCAACAAACTTGCAACGAACTTGCCACGGCTTAGCGGAGCTCAGGCAACACTGTTTGCAAGCGCGCAATTAACGCAATTCAACTTGGCATTTGATCATGAATTATGGCCTAAAACTCTGTGGCAATTGGCGTCTTAAGAAACCAGTTAGCTTCTGCCCAGTTAACACGCTTTAGCCAAGGCTTACTTAGTGCTAAATATGTGCAAGCAGGATAGAATCAATAGATTAAATGCAATCAATTATTTTGTTAAAAACAAAGCTTTTATTTTGCAATTTGCACAGCATCATTTTCAGCGAATGCATTTTGTAGGCCTACAACAACTATTCATCTTACTTATAAACTTAAATAATAAAATTCAAGCAAAGCGGAGATGTTTGCATAATATTATTAAAGTATTTTTGTGACTAACACAGATTTTGCGGCTAAGGATGCGAACCAGTTTCTGCATGAATCAGTTTACATAAGTTCACTCTATGAATTTGGTTTTATCATTTTT